CCCAAGCTTCAACTACTGATTCTGAATCTCAGATTCACTTTCTACAACATCAGATTTTGACAAAACTCCTATTTTTTCAAGCAGCTTGTTTCAAGAGAAAACATTTAATTATGGAGTTCGACCAAACCGATATAAGTATAAATAAAAGTGACTTAGTATTGTTGCTGGTGTTAAGTATAGAATGCAAACAATACACTAAAATAATTTTAGTTTTTTTTTTTCTTTCTCAGTTAAATGAACTTTTTATTCAGCAGGAAACTGACTTTATAATCTTTGTTTCAACAGATCTGGATTTTGCCAGTCTTGCCAGAGGTTTTGCATTGTTAAAAATGCCAAAGATGCCTGAACTAAGAGGAAAATGTTTTCCAGACTTTACTCCAGTCACTGTGAATACAGACTCCATTTCGTTTAAGGATAAAAATAGAGAAAAGCAGAGACAAAAGAAATTAGAACAACAAAGAAAAGAGAGAGAAGAAAATGAAGGGAAAAAGAAATTCATAAAGAACAAAGCCTGGTCAAAGCAGAAAGCCAAGAGGGAGAAGAAAAAGAAAGTAACAGCTAAAAGGAAGCATGAAGAGGTAACTCTCCATTCTGTTAAAATGGCAGTTTCAAATGGCAGAGTGCCCTGGGATTTTAGTGTGGTGGAACTGATGGCTGTAAAGTAACTTTTTAGGACCTTGACAGGCAAATCTTAACAAAAAAAATTACAGAGAAGCTTTTTAAAGCCAAACACTAAACCAATTTCTCAGCACTTATGCTGGTTATTAGTGCTGCCAGCAGACATAGCAGGGATTTTTATTTCTCTGGAGTCCTGCAGGAGGGCTTTATTTTTCCTTGCTTTTGTTAATTTTCAACAAGTGTAGCTGAGAGTTACAGAGTCTCCTGGGTAGGAACTGAGTATTATTTCCTGCTTGGATACTCCTGGCAAAATCCAAGTTGTAATCTTCTCACATTCAGCTGTATAGAATGAAAACTTTCTGGTGTAGTGTTTAATTTGTTGTTTTCAACTGCCAACAGGGCTCTGATATCGAAGATGAGGATATGGAAGAGCTGCTGAATGACACAAGACTCTTGAAAAGACTAAAAAAGGGGAAAATTAGTGAAGAAGAGTTTGAGAAGAAACTAACAGGCAGCCAGAGTAGACTCAAAGCAGAAACTGTTGCTGACCCAGAGTCTGAAGGCTGACAGTTATCCTTTTACATTAAAATACTGCTTATTTCAATAAATCTGGATTTTTATAAAAAATGATACAGAGAACAGAATCGATCCAGTTTCTTCATGGGGAGACCTGGCATCCAGAAAGACACACAAACCAGCCCGCAGTTGTTGAGAACAAAGCTAAAAGCACCACTCTGGTGTGGCAGGAGCTGCAATTTCCATCAGCAGCGCCTTGTGCATGTTTTAATTTTGTTTTTTTTTCAGATACATCCCACAGATCAGTAACAGCACACCTCAGAACAAGTCTGAATACACCATAAGGTACTTTAATTTATAGTATCAAAACACTCCACCCATCTTTAAAATAATTTACTTTAGGTCTTTAGAAGCTGTAGTAACTTCTGGAATTTTTTCAAGAGTGGTCCATAATTACATTAATCCTTATGATGTTGTTTCCTTGCCATGTTCCTATAACTTGTATCATCTTCCAAGTCCTACAGCCCTGATGGTCACTGAAGATGATACATCCTGTGCAGGGAGTCCTGTGTGTTACAGGTAGAGTTTGATGAGTTCATCACTGACAGCTGAGGGAGTTAACACACCCAGGTCTGTGAACAGCAGTGTGATGAGTGATGGGGATGTGTAGTCAATCCAGGGATGCTCCTCTGTGAGATTCTGGCCTGTTTTCAGAGTGTCTGCTTTGTACTAGAAGGAAACAGAGACCACCAGTTATTACACAACTGCAAGTTAAATCCTCTTTTGGGCAAGAGTGGTACTACAGCCTTGAGCAGATGTTTGTGGTAAAACTGAAGGAAGTCAAGTGCAGAGACTGGTGAGACCTTGGTCTCAGCTGCTTTATCTTCTGTAAAAAGTACAATTTGTAGTTCTAAAATGTATTGGTTTAACTGTTTCTTACTCTCAACTGCTCCTGCACCCCAAAGGAACTGCTTTAGGAACTAAATATTAGTAATAAGACAAATTATGGCTGTTTGGCACGTGACTGTACAGTGGAGCTGCTCCATAACGTGCCACAGCACAGAGATCCAGATAAATGTGCTTAGAGGAAAATTTTTCACAGACACACAAGTGTGCACCTTAGCTGGGTAAGGTGGAATTAGAATTTCTCTTACCTTAAACCTGTCAGGGACATCCTGCTGATTTAGAGGGAAAAGTCTTACAAACTTGAAACTTTCTGCTACCACATAAAATGGCTTATTCTGGGCTTTGGCACACACAGCAATTTGATTAGTGCCAATCTGTGGAGACAGATGGAAAACAACATTGCAGACTCAGTGCTTGCATGACATAATATTGCCCAGTTTCCAACAGTAAAGAGACATTTACTGGAAAACATCCAAATAGAAGAATCTTTTCAAAAAGCCTTAAACTTTTCAAAGGAACCAAACTTTAAAAGTCCAGAATTTAGAGAACGATGGAAGAAACTCAGGATTACCTTGTTGATAATGCCTCCACTTTCAACCACACCTTCAGCACCAACCAACACCAGGTCCACTTTCTCCATAATGTAGCTGTTCAAAGAGGGGGAAAAAATCCGAGGCTTACTGGGTAACATGGCAAATGATTTGCTGAACAGAACAGAAATGAGTAACTCAAGCAGGCTTTCACTTTTCTGCACTAGTTCCACCTCTTGTAAGTCCATGTGCTGTTATATTCCAGGTGCCTTGGAGGCAGCGTCTTGGGCGTTTTGAACTTCTTGAGGTTCAGATTTATTATAGTTCTTTCTTCTCCCATGTTTTGGACTTGTAGGAAGCAGTGGTAGTTCAGCAAACACCTTAAAACCCCCAAAATAATATCATTTTCTACCCCTCTTTGTGTAGAACCTCAGGTTTTTTTACAGATCTCCATGAGTTCTACACTTAGGTCTGACTCCTCCTTTCATTCTAACATGCAAAATCAAGTACTTGTCTTGTAACAGACACATTCTCCTAATTGTGCACCTAAAGGTGTAACTTGTTTAGCCTGTTTGATGACTATGACAAACTAAGTAATAACCTCTGGAGTTTGAAAAAGCTTCTAGAAAACTTATGTGTAACACTGTCAAAATACAACTGTGATGAAAAATATTAAGATTTATGAGCAGATTTACCCAACTGCAGCATCCAGAATCACAGTCACGGGAATGTTCAGCTTCCTCAGGGCTTTTGCCATTTTTTGCCTGTTAAAGAAAACATGTTTGAACCTTACAAATCTTTTCTTTAAAGACAATGATAGGAAAATATTGTCTGAAAGACTGAAACCCCTGACTGTCCATGTTCTGTTTCTTGTAGAACAGAAGATAAGTTATTGTATAGAAATGGAAGGAATTGTTGGTGTGGTGGTGTGTGTTAGTGCTGTGTATTATCCAGTGAGCAGGGTTTACTCTTTCACTTATGCAACAAAATATGCTCTGAAGTAATTACTTTATTTGGCATCTTCAAATGACATTTTACCTATACATTTCACTATGCTATGGTCAGGATAATCCTGATTATTTTGCCCTATTTTTGAAGGAGAAAATTAGAAATCGGTTCTCTCCCATCTCCCAGGGGTAAAGCAGTTGCTTGGCACTGCCTGAAAGTTTGTAAACATTTGAGGAAAACCTGAATAACGCTAATTAGAATATTTAGTATGGGAAGTTAATTACCAATACTGTTTAGGGTTTTTTCCACTTGTCCAGAATAATGTGATATTAGTGACAGCTGCCATTTAAAATGCTGCAACCAAGCCTAGCAGCTTTGGTAGGCTTGATGGTAGCTGTAACTTACCCTGTTAACCAAGATAAAAACCAAATTAACGAGTACTTGCCCTGCTTGATCTGGTTGTGACTCAGTAACATAAACACTGAATCGCTTCTTTGCCTCCACAGCTGCTTCCAGCACCCTGAGGACCACCCTGGAGTAGGCATGGGTCAGGATTCGCTGCCAAAACAAAGGAAATTCAGACATTTATTTTTGCTGAGCTTTGGGAAACCTTTACTTCTGTTAATAGTGCTATGGCTTGTCATGCAGGAGTTAGAACAGGAGTGACTTTGCCAGGCCCTACTCACAGCACCATCTCTGATGAACGGGTGGCACAGCTTGGCGATTTTGTTCCTCGAGAGAGACACTTTCCTCAGGAAGATCTCCCCGCGCTCGATCATGATTTCTTTGCACTTGGAGTAGTCCTGGAAGACAGAGGGATGCCAGTGAGGCGGGAGGGTCCCCCGGCACAGCGGGGCCGAGCAGGGCGGCCCGTACCGAGTACTCCAGGGACGTGAGGCTGATGAAGCGCAGGAACAGCTCCCCGCCGGAGGACACGGCCACCGAGGAGTCCACCCGGGACAGCGTGTCGATGGCGTCCCGCAGGCTGTTCCGCAGGCCCTGGATGGTCTCTCCTGGGGACAGGCAGGGTCAGGGGCTGGCCCCGGGGACACCCGGGGTGCAGCGGGGAGGGGACCCGGGCCCACCTCGGTCCTGCTTGAGGAAGCCCAGCAGGGCGCGGATGGCGGCCACGGCCGAGGCGACATCGGGGTCGTCCCTCAGCTGTGCCCGGAAGGTCTCGATCAAGGCTGGAAGACAACGGGGCGCGTTGGCCCGGCCCGGCACCCCAGGTACCGCCCGTGCCCACCGCCCCCCGATACCCCCCGGTACCGCCCGTGCCCATCGCCCCCCGATATCCCCCCGGTACCGCCCGTGCCCATCGCCCCCCGATATCCCCCCGGTACCGCCCGTGCCCATCGCCCCCCGATGTCCCCCCGGTACCGCCCGTGCCCACCGCCCCCCGATGTCCCCCCGGTACCGTCCGTGCTCATCGCTCCCCGCTGCGCTCCTCCCGCCGCACCGGGGCGTGGGCAGGGCCGGGGCGCCTGCGGATGACGGAGCGCGGGGACGGAGCGTCATCTGAGGCCGCCGGGAGCAGCCGCTTCTCCCGACCGGCGAGATGAGCGCGGGTGAGGCGGCGGGTTCGGGGGTACCGCGTTCAGGGTCTGAGGGTACCGCGGCGGGGTCCGGGAGGTGCCGGGAGCGGGGCTCGGGTTCCTCGTGGAGGAGGCAGAGGCCGGAGCGGGGCTCTCGGGCACGGCTCTGCCGCCTGGACTGGGCTCCTCTGCCCCGGGCCCCGAGTGACGCTGCTGTGTTGGTCCCTTTGCAGAGGACGAGCTGAGCCTGCTGGTCATCGTCGTCGACACCAACCCCATCTGGTGGGGGAAGAGGGCGCTGGGAGAGGCGGAGGTACGGCCCTGGTGCTGCCCGTGGCCATTGCTGAGGGGAACGGTGTCATTTTTTTTTAATCGTTAGTAAGTAGGCAAGAGATAGGATTAATCTTTGACTTCTGAACTATCCTAACGTTGTCTGCTAAAGCGGGTATAATGGATATCATCAGAACACTCTTTTTTTAACTGCAGTTATTTCACAGATTTCGAGTTGCTTTTGTGTAACCGTTATTGTGCTGTATCTGCTGTTTTCTTTTCCAGCAGTTCACCCTGTCGAAATGCATCGATGCCGTGATGGTGCTGGGAAATTCCCACTTGTTCATGAATCGCACCAACAAACTCGCTGTGATAGCAAGTCACACACAGGAAAGGTAGAGCTGCTTCTGAACAGTGTAAAGGTTTCAGATGCACTTTCCTATATCTGTCTTCTGATTTTCTTACTGGCTTGAAATGTATAATTGAAACCAAGTTAACGTGTGTAATATATCACTGTCTTAAAAGAAGATATAAGCTAAAAAATTGTGGGAAAGAAATAATCTTAGTGCCTCACAAAGGAACAAAAAGGCTTATAAAACAGAAGGGAGGTTTAAATAGACTTAAAGATATACAGAGAGAGAAAGAATTGTAGAGATGCATCAAGTAGAACAATGCAAGTGGCAGAAGTTTCCTGTTTAGTGATTATTTTCCCTGCAGATATTTGTGAGTCTTGGGGTCTCCCCGAAGTGCAGCCATAGTATCTGTTTGCCAGTTCTCTTAAGAGATGTCTTGAAAGGAGGGAGCTGAATTTGGGGTTTACTCGTGTTTGAGTTTGAAGGTCACCAACGTTAGGTAGTCTCTTTAATGTCTAAAGTATTAAAAGTATTTGAAATTATACTTCAGAGTATTGCTATCTGCAGCTAATTAACTTATGACAGTTTTTCTTACAAGGTTTAAAGGCAAAACATGAATACTTTGCTTTTCCTCTGTTTTAGCCGTTTCCTGTACCCTGGGAAGCGTTGGGCTTCTGCAGATCCCTTTGGAGATGGAGGCAGTTCCATGGAATCTAATTGCTCTGGCAGCAAGGATGGAAAATATGAATTATTGACAGCAATAAATGATGCAATTGCAGAAGAGATTAAAGACCTCATGACAAAAAGTAAGGAGAAGAAAATTCTAGGCTTAATATGCAGAATTGCAAAATACTTGGACTCCCAAGGAGTTTTAGGAATTTCCTCTCTTTTCATCACGTGGATTTTAATGTGTTTAAAGTAGATGAATTTATTATGCTTGACACTTCAGGTTTCTGCTTTAATACTATTTGCCAAAGATAAAACTTGGAGTATTTGGTGTGGACAGTTTCAACAACTGGTTTTTATATCTAAAAGTAACTTTTGCAACTTTTCTTGTATTGCAGCTGAAATGAAGGGCCAGCAAACAGAAACCCTGCTAGCAGGATCACTTGCTAAAGCACTTTGTTGTATCCTTTTGATCACAGAATCTTCAAAGCCTTTATTTGTTTTTAAGACTTTTTCTTGTAATAGTAATTGTTTTACTATTTGTTTTCTCTTATAATATTAAACTCTGAAAGGTTTGCTTAATAACTGGGGGTTGTGCTTATTAGATGTGTGTTGGCCAAGGTGGTGAATATGTGGTATGGATCCTGGAGTTATTTCCAAGATTGGAATGTAGATTCCTTAATGTCAGCTAATGTAGACATCAACAAGATGAGCAAAGAGGTGAAAGGTAACACCTTCTCCTGTTTGCAATCCTTGAATAAATATTTGAACCTGAAGGATAAATATAAATCCATATGCACACACAGATATGCATATGTTTTGATACACTCCCATTTCCAAAATTGGCAGTAGTTGTACAGGTTTTATTCTGATCATTTGAAGTTGCCCAGTTTAAAGTAGGTCTGGGTGACAATCAGGAGTAAAGGACTTGAACAGCAGTCCGTGTTCTTATGCAGATTTTCTGTTGCATTCGAGTAAAACTGGAACAGGGATCTCTTTTGAGGTTGAGAGGAATTAATCCACAGATACTTGTCACTGGGACTGGACCACATTTTCGTATGTGTTTTATCTGACCTGTTAGATCTAACATGGAAGAGGTTCAATATCTAACTGAGATTACAGAATTAAAAGGGCAAACTATGGTGGTACAACCAATGTGCTGATGCATTTCTCTTTCTTTCTTTTTAATACTTAGCCAATCAAGAAATGAAATCAAGGATTTTGGTAAGAACTTTTGCTGTCAGTTTTCTTTTGGTTCTCAAATCCAGTGATATATGTAGGCTAACAAGTCTGAGTTGTTTTATTTAGGTCATAAAAGCCGCAGAAGACAGCACATTGCAATATATGAATTTCATGAACGTGATCTTTGCAGCGCAGAAACAGGTGAAGCTGCTTTTCTTTAAATTTATATTGTCTTTTATTAATGTGCAAAGATGACAGATCAGTTCGTTTCTCTTATGATTACGTTCTGATCAAGTGAAAGAGCTTTCCTGTGGCTGTGGTGGCCCTGCATCTGCAAAAGCAGGTGCATTTCTTTGTGGGGTGCATGTGTAGTGGAAAAAAGTCATGTCAGGAACACTGGTAGGGCTATGTTGGTCCTGGCTGAATTTGGTTTTCATGCATTTCCTCTCTTTCCTTGCAGAGTATTTTGGTTGATGCCTGTGTCCTGGACTCTGATTCGGGTCTTCTACAACAGGTACAGACTTCCTGTTCTTATTTGCTGTTTGTATTAATTCATAGATACTTGATGCCAGATAGTTCAACATGTTCTTCTGCTCTTTTCCTTCCATTAAGGAAGAGTGGGTGTGGAAATATGTTCAGTGGATCTGACAGTTCTGTCATGCAGGCCTTGTGCAGTACAAGGACATTTTAAATATCCTGTTAATGTCATAGAACAACAACCTGATCATTCTCTCTGCTTTGCAGGCCTGTGACATTACAGGTGGCATATATTTGAAAGTGCCCCACATGCCATCCCTCCTGCAATATTTGTTGGTAAGTCATTGAAAAAACTCCTGAGGGTTTTTCCTGTGTGAGATGTGAAATATCACTGATGAGAAGATACAGCAGTACCAGTCCAATTCACAAAGTATTTTTCTCCTTCTCTGCAGTGGGTATTTCTCCCTGACCAAGAGCAGAGATCACAGCTGGTCCTCCCACCTCCTGTTCATGTTGACTACAGAGCTGCGTGTTTCTGTCATCGGAACCTCATTGAAATTGGTTATGTGTGCTCTGTGTGCTTGTCAAGTGAGTTTATGAATATTTAAGAGTCTGATTTCTTCCATTCAAATGACCTATTTTAGTGAAAGCCAATTCTTTTCTTTTCCAGTATTCTGCAACTTCAGTCCTATTTGCAGTACCTGCGAGTAAGTGTTTGTTCTTTGTATTTCAGGGCTGGGTGTGGAAATATGTTCAGTGTAGCTGACAGTTCCTTTTTTTATGTTTTTTTTTTTTTTTTCAGGACTGCTTTCAAAATATCATTGCCACCTGTCATGAAAGCAAAGAAGAAGAAATTAAAGTTAGCTGCGTAACAACATTATGTAAATACATCATTACCTCCTCCAGTAATTCCATGAAATGGAACCTACTTGAGAAATTGCTGGCACTTTTTATTGGGTATGAAAGAGAACTGGATGAAGTGCTATTACTTTTTTGTTAGGGGATAAATATTTAAATGAGATGTCTTCTATGCAGCCCTTTAAGTAATGAATCACTGTATTACCATGTAACCTGTGCTGTTTTCCCTACTAATTCTGAACTGTAAGAGGAACCAGAAGTTACATCCTGTAAGGAGATACAGCCTGTGAAGTTGAAGGTATTCTGGCCACTGTTGTTCAGGGACTTCAGCTCCTTGCTAGCAATTTTTGGACTAAAACAGCATCAATTTCAAAAGAAATGAGCCAACATTTTCAAGATGGTTTGGGAGCCACTTGAATAAAAAGGTGCTAATTGCCCTACCTGTGCACTCACATGTATTCATATTCCTTTGACTGTATTGTCCTTGTGGTACTTCTTTCTCAATTTGATATATCTTCATTTGTGAATAAAAAGGCCTTTCTTTGTTTGAAATAACACCAATAAATGCAGACTAACTGCCTAGTCTTTAAGATTGTATTTTGAAACTGGAAAACAAAAAATGTAGTTGTAATATGACAGCAGGCACACTTCTTTTTTTAGTATGTGGGTTTACATCTGGCATTTGACACTAAACAAACAATATCCCGATCTAAAAAGTAGCTCTACAGTTTGGAGGTTTAGCCTGTTTTAGTAACTGCCATTCTCCTGAAAGGGATACAGAGAGGAATTGAAAAGGACTAATTTTTTTTCTTCCTAATGTCTACACAAGAATTTGTCATGTCTTGATATCAGGTTTTATCACTGTAACAGCTTTAGTGCCAGTTTTTTCCAGGCTTGCCAGAGTACAAAGCGAGCTTTTTCGATTGCCAAAAGCCATTTTGTGTGAAGGCTGTATTTATAATTTACTTTGTATAAAATTTTTGTAATAAAAACTGTTTCTTTTGCAAGCGTGGCCAGATATTGCTTTAATGACATATTTAAGGGCGAGCTACATGGCTTTCTTGGATTTTTATTGTGTGAGTGTAATGATGTGATGTGACACTGGATGGTGTAAAAACTTTTATCTATACATTTTAACAACACAGGAATTAGTGTTCAATGGCTGCAAGTTACATAGTTCTCTTATTAATTAATATTCTATCTTCTGTTGGTTAATGATTCTCATGCTTCTCATGCTAATTAGTGCTATGCTCAGTTTTTTTGTTCCTTTGGGTTGAGGGGTTTCTTGGGTTCGTGGTTGCAGATCTGACCCTGCCAGAATTAACTTTTACCCAGATGGAGCTGATTCCAGCACAGTTGCTCAGTTGGGCTTATTAGTTTCTTCCTTACCTTGGGAGTTCCTCCAGCTGTCCCTGTGAGCCGTAAATTCTGCTCTGTGCCCACTGTCAGTGGTACATCCTTCCTCCCAGGTTTTGTTGACCTCCACCAGGCCTGAGATCATTGAAGCACGGTCAAACCCTAAACTTTAACAAGTCAATTCTACCAACAAGTAACTTGTTTTTCTAATACGTGGACATCACGCAGAGCTTGCTAACATAAAGCTGGCTGTTTCACGGATTAAATCTCCCTTCTTGCTGATTAGGCTTGAAAGTATACAAAGACCAAACATCAAAGAACATCCTTTATTAGGGTAACTGTTACGTATTCCACCTTTTGCAACGCCACCGTGCGGCGGCCCAGCCGGGCTGTGTGTCCGGCCCGTCGCTCCCGGGGCCGCCTTCCCTGAGGCGGCCGCCGTTCCCGCCCTCGCCGTTGCCATGGCGCCGCGCTGGCGCTGCAAGATGGCGGCCGGGCGGCCGCCGTAGGCGACATGGGGCTTCCCGGCCTCGGGGCGCTGCTGCTGCTGCTGTTGGCGGCTCCCTGCCCCGGGCAGCGGGCCGGGGACTCCGGTGGGTCAGGGCGTGAGGGGCCGCGGGGAATGGCGGCCTCCGGGGGTGTGGGGATGGGGGTCGGTCTGCGGCGGGACCCGCCCGGGTGGGCGTGAGGGGAGGTGGCGGATCCGCTGAGGGTTCCCCGGGGACGGCGAGGTTGGAGGTCTTGGGTGCCCTTGCCCAAACACGAGCCTCTGGGGGAAACTCGGAGAGGGAGGGTGGAGCTGCTTATGTCGAACCTTTCAGCCTTAGTAAAGTTTGTAACGAAAAATCCAGCGAAACTCCCAGCTCGGAGCCCTAAACTTGACACTGCGTCCGCATGCTGAGGGCAGGAGCCCGCAATTCCTGGATCACGGGTAGCTGGACACTCCTGGCACCATTCATAGCCCCAAGAAATTAAATGTATCAGCTGAAATCAGTATGAAATATGGTCTTGCCTGAGCTGTGTAGTATCTACATAGGCTGTAAGTGCTGCAGCCTCCTGCTGTGATGTTATTTTGCTGCATGTCTTCACAAATATAAACTTGTGGTATAGAAAGCTATGGTGAACCCCCTGCTCCAGCCCTTGGCAAGAATGTAAATACAACCCTGCACTAGGCATTACAAGATATATTTCTTCTATTTGTGACAATTTAAAGTATAAGAATATAAGAATCTAGGCCAAGCAGAAGACATAAGTATGTCTTACAGATGTTACTGTTTTCAGGCAGTGTGTATGAAGACTTGTTTCTTTCTCTTTTTAGTCTTTCAGCCTTCATTTATCCATATGTCAGGGCCCAGAGTCAATTCATTTTTTCTTGGAAATTCTTCAGGAGTTACTTTTTCTGTAATTTTAAGTCCTGGAAATGAAGAGACAGGTAAGAACACTTCATTTCCCCCCTTTCCTTCCCCTTTATGTAAATAAATATGTTTGAATTATTAATATTTTTGACATTAAAACTGCTGGAGAAATGGTAATGCACTTAATTTAGTGCTTTAATCATTACTGAAATAGGAACTCCAGAGGACTTCTGTGATTAAACCCTTAGTTCTCTGTTGACTCTGCATCAGCTGGGCCTCAGGGTGTGTGTACCTGAAGGCACAAGAGGAATTTAAATGTACTTCTTATTCCCAGTCTTTTCTAAATGACAGTGGAATACTTTTTTTTGCTATAGGAAAATTGCAAGTTGCAAATTGCAGTGGAAGTAAAAGAGCTGGTGATTGGAATTTGGATGTAACACCTGGTATGGTATGTAAAGTACTAATTCTTCCCTAAAATGGGAATGATTGTCATATATTAAGGGCTAATTAAATACTAGCATAATGTTAATGTACTAACAACTTCATTTGAATATGTTGCCCTTGCCTGTTTTCCTTGACATATTGTGTGAGTGCCCTTGCTGGAGTTGCAACTTTGACACTGGTCCCTTGTTCTCCTCCTCTCCACAACTGCTTGTATTTCCTGGCTGGCTGTAGCATTTGAGGCTCTTTCAGATCTGCTGGAAGGATGTACTAGAAATAAAAAAATATATACAGCATGAGCTCTAGAACATCTGTATTTCTTAGACTTGTCTTCAGTGTTATATGTAATTCTTTAGGGGTTTTATCAACTCTGGCATCATTCCAGTTTTCGACTGAAGGGAACTGTAAAAACTGAAATTCCCTTTTCAATATTTGATGTTTTTCTTTAGACTTGTGCATGTGATTTCTAAAGTGACTTAATCTGTGTACATGCCCTAAAAAGTTCTCTGTGTGTTCATATCCCTGCTGTATTTGCATATCACAGTATCAAACCTTTTGTCATTCCAGTCTCCAACTCCTGTTATTCCACTTCATTCCAACTCCTCTCTCAGAAGCTGATGAGTGGTATAATTAAGAGCAATTTAATACAAGGCATAAGAGCTGTCAAACTTTATTCTGCATTTTTCCAGAACACTTCCAAAGTGACTGTAAGCTTGACCAGAAACCTGGAGTTGTGTTTGCCCAATGCCACTGACTGCTGCCCCTCACCTCTCTGTGTGCTGGAAACACTCCAGGTTTTAGCTTGCCGTGGTTCAGTGAGGCTGGCACAGCTCCTGATTCAAGCTGAAATATTTGCCAACTCTTCCTTTGCAGGAAATGTCTCAGGTAAGGGTTTAGATATGTTAAAGAAAAAATGGCATTTTGGCTGTTCTTTTCCTCTCTACATGGAAAAACTGGGATTTGGGCTGCAATAAGAGATATTGAATAATCATTAATGGAATTTTTAAAAAGGTTTCTTCACAGTCAGAATAAACTGCAATGTGCATGGTCTGTGTATTTGGATTTCAATCCACTTAATCTGATTTTCTCCTCTTCTAATTCTGTTACAGAAAATGCAACTATCATCCCAAACCAGGCCTTTCAGCCCTTAGGCTCTTGTCCTTGTAACTTAACAGCTGGAGCTTGTGATGTTCGTTGTTGCTGTGATCTGGTACTTATTTCATATTAAACTTTGATTAGTGTTTGTCAAATTTCTAAACTCTCTCTGTTATCTGGGAGGAGTGAAAGGTACTGAATGCTTCAGCCTAGATGGGCCACAGGGCTTGTTTGGATTTTCCAGTATTTCTAATAGTAAATATGACCTCTCTCTACAAAACTGTTTGATTTATCTGTAAATATGGCTATATAGTGCCATTGCTAATGCCATCACTGTGCTTAAAAGTGACCATTCCTTTCCTTTCAGGAGTGTACACCAGACTTGAAGCAGTTATTCAATGGATCATGTTTCACTGGGGTGTTTGGTGGGGATGTAAACCCACCTTTTGATCAGCTGTGCTCTTCCCAGTCAATGGAATACACCCCTGAGTGGTTTCCCTTCCTTTGTGTACAGTCTTCTCTTGACAACACACCATTTCTTGGCTATTTTTATCATGGCTCTATGTAAGTCTTAAGAAAATTAATTTTCTCACCATACACATTAGACATGAAAATGAACCTGTTTTGATAATGAAAGTTATTTTGAAATCAGGATTTTAGGGTGTGAACTTCAAATGCAAATGGAGAAATGTCATTGGTACTATAGTAGAACATGGGACATGAAAGAAAACGTGTCATTATTTGTGAGGTAGACAATAAAGAACTGTTTAATTTTTAAACTTGTTTGCAGTTCTACACCCAAAGTTCCTGCATTTACAATCCCTTTACAAACTTCTCCTGGGAGACTTTTCACTGGTTACAGACAAGGAGATCCAATTATAACTGAAGAAAATGAATATTTTACCATTCCCCAGGTAATCACTTTGTGTTTATGAGCTTTTGATTCCTCTTGGTTTGTTTGATACTTTCCATACATCACATCCCCTGTGGCCTTGTAACCAGATTCAGCAATTTGCTCTTGTAAAGTGGTGGAATATATTTTTCATCAAAAAAAATTTAGAAAAAAAGCAGCACAAAATCATTATTAGAAGAAAACATCTTTCCTGATGCCCCTGCCCGCCCCCCAAATGGTAATGTTTTAATTATTTCAAGAGGTAAAAGCAATCTCGGCATCGTGTTAACAGTTTATGACTTACCATATTCTGTATTTTTTGGTTTTCCTGCTGAGCAATATAGTTGGCTTTCAATCTCAGTCATCTGGTGATAATTGAAATTCCTTTTGTATTTTAGAGACACTTTTTTGGTTATAATTATTGTGACAAATTGGGGTAAAACCAGACTGTACATTGAAACTATTTTTAAAGCTGTGCTTTTAAGATTTTGACCTCTCCTTTGCTACAGACTGAGATATTTTGATAACTTCAGATTACTTGTTTCTCAAAGTGTCACGTGTGGCTGCAGTGCACATTTGGGGCATTTCACTAACTGAGAGTCTTCAAATGAAAGGCAAGGGGCTGGCAAAGGGTCCAACACAGTTGTTTTTGTGGCCCACCCGCAGCAGTCCCTGGCTGGGCAGTGTGTTGGGAATGCTCCCGTGGCGTATCTCCAGGACTTTGATGTCAAGTGCCTGACCAGTCTGGAGTCTTACAAGGAAGGCCTGCCCCACCATGTGAGGATAAACACTGGCACTGCAGGTATGCTGCCTAAATCCCAACAGGAATGTGCTCCCTGTTTCTCAGAGCTGCTAGAACAGAACAAACCCCAGGGCTGTTGGCACAGTAGCTGCATCTAACACCTTTGTTATCTGGTGGCTGTAGTTCAACGTTTGGAGATGTTCTGTTCCCGATGACCTTCTAGGAATTGTCCCACTATTTCCCAAGATTTAGCATGTAAGAAACAGTGGGATTGACCTTTGTTTCCCATTTATCTGTTTCTGGTGACTCCTACTGGTTATGGCTACAAGTGACAGGGCAGCATCTCTGCCGCTATTTTCAGACTGTTGCAGAGCCCTTTTTCTGTCAGGAGGGTGCAGTATCAGCATTTGAGAATTACTGAGGAGTGGTTACTCTGCATTACAAAAGCAAGTACTTAGGAAGAGTCATTCTGGGGTTTGAGATAATATGATTACCAGCATGAAGATATTTTATTTTATGCTCCATAATTGTCTAATTTTGTTAGTCTAACTAGACCCAGAGATAATTAGCTATGCTTTCAAAATACATAAAAAGTTTGGGTCTTTACCAAAATCAATTTTCTAAATAATTTTCTACTCAATGTTCATAACAACAAGGATGTTGTGAAAACTGTAGGTCTGTGTTTCTTTTTCATTCTCAGACTTCATCCAACAAAATGTCACCTATAGAACCATCACTGACAGGGGCAAATTCATCACTGAAAGTGGTATGTGTCTTCCATTTAATTAATAGGTCTCTTACCTAACCTGGACTGTATATGGCATAGATTATTTTGATGCCTAAAATGTTTACCTGCTGCACTTCTTAGGAGGAATCTTATATGTTAACTAACACTGAAAAAGTAAACTGGCTTCCTGCAAAGCAGGAAGTATTTAATTTACCCCAGTTTGTTTAAGGTTGGTCAAGAAATCAGGTCCCTTATCTTACATTAAAATTAATTTTTGAGAAGAAAAAAGCCCAACAAATACAATAAAGAAAGATATAAAGAATGCTTAAAAAAATCTCCAGGATGAACATGTAAGTGTGGAGGGCAGACTGTAAGCAGATATGGTTGTCTCTGTTTTGTAAGTTCCTGTGCCCTTTTAAGGGCCTTTTTCAGCAGTTATTTGATGTAGGACAGTGGTTCCCAGTCAGTGGAGGATAATAAACTAATGGAATCCAAGCTAATTAGTTTTTCTGGGCAGTGATGGCTCCCTGGGAGGGATGAGAGGAAAGCAGAGAGAATTCTCAGTCCAGAGAAGGGCATCAGCTGGTGATGTAAAGTCCAGTGCTGGGTTCTTGTGCAGAGGATCAGCTAGAAAAGGACCTGGATGCTGATGATAAAATATTGATAAACTGGGAGATTGTACCATTGCACATTTAAACAGTAGAATCAATTCTCAAAAAGATGAATGTTGTAATTCCCAGAATTTTGCCAGGGTTTTAATGTGTTCTTTTTGAGCTGCAGTAACAGAGCTTTCTAATTAGAATGCTTTTCATTATGGCCTTTTTTTTTCCTTCTGCCAGAAAACCTTCATCCTGCCGAGGTTCTGTGTCAAAATGTAACTTTTGCAGAGCATTATACATTCATTTGCAAAGACAAGAACATTGAGCAAGTAAATGTCACAGTCTTCCTTGGAAGCTTGTGTGATGGAGGTATCATGACATTTTGTAATGATTTTTTATTGTACTTTTTTCTTCAACATGGAAATTTTGTGATAGAATCTCTTGTTTACTAATACTTCTTAAAATGAATTTCCCTGGGGCTCTGGAAAGAAAAGTAAAGGGGTTATTTCCATTAATTTGTATTATTTTGAATCTTCTGTTACTACTGAAGGACCAAAGTTTGTATCCTACACAGAGCATAGTTTTTGCTGATTTACACCATACTTGTTGCTACTTTACTCATTTAAAAGTAAAGTCATATTTTTCTCTTTTACCAGAAATACTGACACAGAGATTCACAGTTGAATTTCTGAGTTTAAAGAGTACTAATGGAGAAGAACTGCCTGAGAATACAGGTATTACTACTTTATTTTGCCTATAAAAGAAAAAAAAAATCATACTGTGCAGATTATTATCAGTGATTATGTTTTATATTTCTTTCATACTTTCTTATGTTGCCAGCCTTCACCTTCCTGCCTTCCTGCACTGCCAGTAGCAGAGATCGGTTCTTAGGCTTTTGTTGCATAGCTATTGATTATTTAAAGTGAGGCTATTCCCACTCTAATGGAAATGCCTGGTCATTTACTTCAAGATTGATGACATTTACTAGTAAAACAATGCTAATGCTTATAGATTCTTATACAATGTTCATGATTTACCCTTCTCTCTTTAGGTTATCAAGTTGGAAAACCAGTGAGAGCTGCAAATATAAATGCTTCTGATCCTCTTGGAACCCTAAACATTTGGCAGCCAGGTACTGGCTTGTGAGGTTGCAACTTCAACTGTAGTTAATGCTAAAGTGTTGGGGCTTTGTTGGTTTTAGGATTTTTTTTTAAACATATTTTAGTTAAAAATCTGCTCCAGATTTTGGTTTTCTTTCCCAAGCCTTTGTTTAAAGGATAGTGAGAAAGCCTCTAATGCTTTCCTGCAAAATGTATGTTGAATTGACTTGTATCTATTTTTGAACTCTACCATGTTGAGTTTGCATTCTAGTGTTTGATGTTTTGCACAAAACTGAAAGCTAGAGATCCAAAGGTGGCTATAGGAAAGCTCAAGTAAGATGGTTTCATTTCACAGCTGGCAGAGGCTTATGTGCATCAGCAACTTATACACCAGTTTTATTTGGAGTAGACTCCTACTCTGGGTGCATTCTGGAAGTTGGGATTAATGAAGATTGCAGCCTTTTAAGGTGAGCCACATAAGCTGAATTGTTTCTCCCTGTATCCCTCCTGTTGGTTATTACATGATTGTCTACAAATGCCTCTTACAAGCACTGGAATATTCTTTTTAAATACTCATGTGTGTGTTTCAGCTTTCTGTGGTTAAAAGTCTCACTTCATTTCTAAAGGGAAATTATAATAACAGCCTCAGTCTGTATTTAAATGAGGATTGTGTTGGGGTGGAATACTTTGCCATTTCTTCCCTTCAACAGATAGCTGACAAGTTCGAGTTTATTTTTGTGGAGTGGTAACACCTTTCAGAGGAAACTGAGCTTATGATACAATAAGGTTGCAACCCAGAGTGGCAGACAGTACAGATTTACCTCCTTTGTGATGTTACATTCTTATTTTGCAGAGGAAATGTAACTGAGAAATTGAATTCATTAATACAAGCTACTCACATTGGAAAGAGGGACAATTCCAGTTACAGTGATCCAGATGACTGGGTGGAAATCATACGTAAGTGAGGTTTCTTAACATAACTGAATAGAGCATCTCAAAATAAACCCCAAGCATAATTTCAAATGCCTAAAGTACTGATATGTCTGGATCCATCTCTCCATGTCTGTGGACACATAGGCATATAACTCAGTATGTGTATGGATACTGAATATTTTACTGCCAGCCTGTACACATATGACTTGGCATTTACCTATTGATAAATAGATATCAACAGATAAATATATAATCCTTTAAATAATAAAAGTATAATAATTTTCTTTGTGTGTTTTTTATATAGAGAAAGCATTTTTAATCTGTTTCTGTGTGACAGTTTACCAGTGTTTCACTGGACTATGACAATAATCTAACGATGGAATATTTATATTTAATATTTATATTTATATATTTAATATTTATATTTAAATAACTCTGTTCTCCATAGGTCTTGATCCATTTAATTCTGATACCAATGTGAGCACTGGAAACTTAAAAGGCTTTTGTCCAGATATTCCTGCAAACCTGAATATTCACATAATGTTTGCTGAAGTGGGAGCAGTGCAAGGGATTCCCCAGCAACAGATTCTTGCTGTGCAGATCAGGTAGAGTGAGTTGTGTCTCTGGTTATCTCACAATATAAATGTTTCATTTTGAGCCTTCCTTACCTAACAAATCCAGATTTAAACTTCAGAAACAAAAAATTGTGTTTTGTTACTTAAAATTTTTACAAGCCTTTTATTTCTGCAGCCCAAATTCCTTTGATCACAACCAGGTTAGCCTTTCTCATTCTTAAATGAAAAAAACCCACAAAACTAGTGCTTAAAACCACATAATAGTTCTACTTCACTTAACAGTAAATAAAATCTGTGATGCTGCCAGCAGTGGGCAGACCCAGGGCATCCCATCAGGAGGGTGTTTTAATTTCTTGTGACGTGGTGGAAGTGACAACATTGTCCTATGTTCTGGCTTATCCCACTGCAGAGCTCTTGGGAGCTGTGCTAAATGATTTATTCTTTCCTGAAATGGAATTGTCACTTTGCAAACACTTTCCCCTCCTCTGCCAAGTCAATCCCAATTAAATAAATGTGATTCTGCTCCATTTTAGCTCATTTCCAGGCTTGGGTTCTCCCCCTGCATGGGGGAAAATCCAGGGATTATCAACCTCCTTCCAAATACTGTGTATTTTGTCCTTTTGTGGTCGTGTTTAGGCTCTAAATTTTCATTTACAGCCCTCAAGTAAAAGTTGTGTTTATTGTTACAGTTACTCAACAGTCCTATGGCAGTTCCAGTGTGGGCTGAGCTGTGGAAACAGCCTCAGCTTCCTGCCCATCACAGCTTCTGTTCAGTTCATTAAAGTCCCAGCTCAGCCACCCGTTCGAAAGACAAGGTAAAAACATTGAAAACTTCACACTGTGCTCAGCAATGTGAACAGCATTGACCAAAAGGGTCCTTTTATTCCAGATACCACAGGATTTATGTGGAATTTGACTGCAATCAAAATGACGTGTGCTTGCAACAACTATTTTATCCACTGACACGGTTTTACACAGGTAAAAACAATAAACAATGTGGGATGTCACAAACTGGCCACATTTCCTTGGAACATAATTAGATGTGTGGAGTTCAGTCTGAAAGAATGCTTTGTGGTGGGGAATTAAAATTTCTCCTTTAGAAACCACAGTCCAGAAAGTCTGTTTAATTGTTTTTTTGACAATGCATTAATTTCTCAGTTAGACTAGTGGAAAGAAATAATTACTAGAAGTACTTTCTGGGCAAGCTTGAAATTTTGTGAGCATCAGTTTGGCAGGGAGAGATTCTTTTTCACTCCCCTGTGGGGTTTAGAGTGACATATGCTGGTTAAGGCAAAGAATATGTCACTTTATAATATTGTTCTGTAACTGTAGCACTGTCAGAGTGCGTCATTGCTCTTGAAGGGTGGAGGGAGACTTTGTTTCTCACTTTACCAGTAAAAATTTGCCATATTGTTAAGACAGATAATTTTTAATTTTCTTCTGTGTAAAACTGTGGTGGATTATGTTTCATGGGAGACTCCATAGATTAAATGTCTGGGATTTCAAAGGGCACTTGGACTTGGACAAAAGTATGAAGTTTCACAAGTATGAAGCATTTTACTTCCTTGCTTTGTGCTGCATTAATGTGTATATTTTAATCTGTATCCTTGGGTTGTTGTCTAAACTAAAATTTAGCTCTCATACACTTACACTTTTTTTTTCTTTCTCTTTTGCAGGAGAACCATATTCCCAGTGTCTTGCTAAAGGCCTGCTACTGGCATTTCTTGTTTTACTTGCAGTAATTATGAGCAACCCTTGGTTTTCTAAATTATGGAACAGATAGGTAAAAATTTATATAAACATTTAAAAATACATAAAATCAGTACTTTTACAGTGTACAGAAAATGGCTGTGTTGTTTAAACCAAAAGTAATAAATTATTTTTAAGCTCCAGACTCTGTGTTTGGAGCAGCAGAGTGCAGAGTTGACTTCAAGAGGGTGGCAAGTTCAGCCCAGAGGCTACAGCAGGGTTGGGGTCATCCTCATGGATGGATCTTTATCTTCTCAAGCTGGTTCTCTTCTCCTGGAGTAGAAGCTCCTCTTCACAGCAAACTCCTATTTTTGGAGCAGTGGGCAGACTGCTCACACTTCAGGAAAGTCACAACGCTTCAGCTGTTTTCATGTGTCCACCTAAAATTCTCTTTTCCAGTTAATGCTTTGCATTGGCAACCTGGGCTCCACAGGGCAGGAAACGTTCACTGATTGTCCTCAGGTGATGAAACACAATGTTGGGGACTTTTTGGGGTTTGGATGGGCCAGAAAGTTGATCAAAGAACTAGAACACCTCCCCTATGGAAACAGGCTGAGAAGGTTGGGGCTCCTCAGCCTGGAGAAGATAAGGTTGTGTGGAGACCTCAGAGCACCTTCCAGTATCTGAAGGGGAATACGAGGAACCAGAGAGGAGCTCTTTGTCAGGAACTGAAGTGACAGGACAAGGAGTAATGGGTACAAACTGAAAGAGGGGAAATTTAGGCTGGATATTAGGAAGAAATTTTTCCATGTGAGGGTGGTGAGGCCCTGGCACAGGTTGCCCAGAGAAGCTGTGGCTGCCCCATCCCTGGAAGTGTGCAAGGCCAGGTTGGACGGGGCTTGGAGCAACCTGGGATAGTGGGAGGTGTCCCTGCCCATGGCGGGGGTTGGGACTGGACGATATTGAGGTCCTTTCCAACCCCCTAATCATTCAATGACTGTATGTAACGCATTGCTCCCTTAACATTCAGTGACTGTATCATGTTCTCCCAGTAACGCGTTTCTCCCGTACATCCTCTCCCACAGAAGCCTCTCAGGCGGTGACTCCGCGGCTGCCATTCCCGGTGAGCGGCTCGGCGGGGGTTCCCGGCTCCCCGGCCGGTGCCGGTGCCGGTGCCGGTGCCGGTGCCCGAGCTCAGCCCGAGTTCTCCGCCCGTTCCCCGCCCCGGAAGCCGCCGCCGGGGCCGGGCCGGGCCGCTCCGCCCCGCCATGGCCGCCCCCGGGCCCCGCTGCGCGCCGGCCGCCGGCCCCGCCGAGCCCCGCTGAGCCCCCCGGGCCCGGAGCGCCCTCGCCATGGGCGCGCTGTTCCGCGGGGAGCCCATGTGCCTGGTGCAGCTCGACCTGCGCAGCGGCTCGGCCTACGAGTGCCTCAGCGAGGTGGGCGAGCGCGGCCTGGCCGAGTTCCGAGACGTGAGTACCGGGTCCCGGGGGGCCTGCGGGGACATCGGGGCAGGCACAGGGGCGGGGGGGCCGAGCCGGGCCCCGGGGAGCCGCTGGGAAGGAGCGGGACTCCAGGACCGCTGCCGTTCCCAGCTTTCCCCGCCTCCGACACGCAGGTGTGTGGCCGGTCCCTGGGTCGCGTTCCCCTGGAAGCAGGGATCACGAAGTCGTTAGGGTGGGAAGGGACCTCTGGAGGTCCAAGGCAGGGTCCCCTGGAGCAGGTGACACAGGAGCGTCTCCAGGTGGGTGGGACGGGTGATGGGAAGTCAGAGTTTGGAGCTCGGGCCTCCCTGACACTCCCTGCTTTGGGGTGGCCGCATCCCACCTTCTCACCGAAGCAGCTTGAACTTGGGAGTTACTTGCAGTGGGACCCTGTGGGAGACCCCCTGGGCCACGTGTAGCCACAGTGCCTTCGGGCTGAGTGTGTGTGCACACCTCAGTGACGTGTCCACCCCACTGAAACAGCTGCTCTGTAGGTTTGTTTCTTCAGCATCACAGGCTCCTGGTTTGTCAAACACGTCTGTTCCTGGAGCAGCAATTCACCTTGCAGGAAACTACCTGCCTGACTATTGGGTTGGGCAATAATTAACCTTCTTTCTGCATTGTCTCATCATAATTATATGATGTTTGCTTGCTGACTGAGACTTTGGAATTTCTTCCAAATATACATCAGAAATGTAGGTTGCAGAATCTTTGCAGGGAAAGCTGGGAGAACTCAAATTAACAGCTGATTAGTAAATATGGTACAGAGGAGGAGGCAGATCTGTAAGAACGACAATGTGAGTGTATGTTTAACATTTGATGCCATTCCAGTCACTTGACACACCATTTATTGTAGAAATAACACATTATTGGTTCTGTTTAAAAGCTGAATAAGTAGGCAGAGACATTGCACTTATGGTAGGGGTATATACATAAAAAGATCCTTTTAAAACTTAACATTTAACATAGATTCTGTGGAAATCCATCACAACAAATTTGCTTGTAGGAAGGTTTGTTAATTTGAAGTCATTAAACAGTATTTTAAAACTGTAGAAATAAGATTTGGAATGGTTTCTCCAGGAGATCTCATTGATTTTTTATTTGAATACAACCAGCAAATGACATGGATGATTCTGCTTTAATAAAACCAATTCTGCTATTTGAAGACTTTTTAATCTTTTTAGGTTTTTGTACCTTCTTAGCTGAAAAGCACTTTAGAAAGAGAGAGCACACAGAACATGCAAACCGTCTCTAGGAAGTCACAGGAACAGCTGTGGTTTTTTAGGGATGTTGCTGTTTTGAATCTCTGATAAGAATTTTGTCCTTCTCCTTCAGCTTAACCCAAATGTAAGTGTATTTCAGAGAAAATATGTGAATGAAGTGAAGAAATGTGAAGAGATGGAAAGAATACTTGGTGAGCTTTATTTTCATATCTGACCTTTCTCAGCCGTGACTTTATTAAAGTTAACATTACTAGAGTAGAACTACAGTGAAGGTTTCAGCTACCAGCTTATGTGGTCTGACTGCTGTAGACTCATATAGAATTTTCATATGTATGAAAAAATAGACATCCATACACTCATCTCTTGAGTCTTTATGTAGACTTTTGGAGCTGGAGATGACTTCTGTGGTTTTGTGAGCTGTGAAATTCACTTACACTAAATATAGATCAGTGTTCTTTTGAGCTCAGAGGCGAAGAAGATTTGCTAATTTTTGCTGATAAATAATTGAGACCATTTCAGTATTGATTGCTTAAAACTCTGCTAGGAAAATGGAAGCTTTACTCTGGATATTTCCTTGACTGTAAGATATTCCCCGTTTTTTCATGTTGTGTAACTCAATACTGTTGATCTTCCAAGCACCCTCAAAAATACCTTTATTAGTAATTATGTTATCAGTAGTTGTGTTCTCATGGTAGTTACTGAATAGGGGGTTTGCAGAGCGTTACAGCCAAGATGCAGATTTCCTCAGTGTATCCTGAGGAAAAGTTACCATTGAAGGATTCCTTTTGTTGGAATCTCTCACCAGAGGCACGTGCTGGTCATGCCACACCATGCCAGCAGCTGTTTTGGCAATCTCCCTGTCCAGTGGGAGTTGCACATGTGTCAAAGTTCCTTAAGCCTCCTTCTTTGAACACTTTTTATCCAAACATGGGGCAATGAGCAGAATGGCCATTTCTGGCAGAAAGTGAAATGATCGTGTGATAGAAACCGATGTGCAGCAACTAAGAGGTTCTAGGAAATATTAAAGCTTCTTACAAAGTACTTGTGGTTGGGAGATTTTCATCGCAGGCCTCTAAAGTTCACTCACTTGTGCAAACTTCCAAGGCGGGAATGTTCGGTGTGTTTTATCCCTTATGCTCTGTCAGTCCCCCTTTTTTGAAGATTAGTGTGTGTTGTTGCTAAAATGACTGAATAAAATAGCCAGGGCCTGGTGCTGCAGAGTGATCAGTGCCAGCAAGAGCAGCTGAAGGTCAACTCTGCAGCATTGTAGGAAGTCTAAGGCAATGCAGTTTCCTTTCTGATTCTGTTTTATTTCTCACTCCAGGATATTTAGTACAAGAAATTAAAAAAGCAGGTATTTCACTCCCTGAAGGAGATGTTGCTCCTCCTGCTCCCTTGCTGAAGCACATTTTAGAAATCCAGGTAACTTTTCCACTAAACAGATGCCGAAATGTAGGATATTGGAACTTAATTGCAGACTTAATTACTGGCTCTTTTATTAGGACTTCAGTTGTAGGGGTGTGGCGGGGGAGGCAGAAGCATTCGCTTTCCTTTTTGTCTGATTGTTTTCCTTCCTGCCAGTGTCACTTCAAAGCCTGCCAGTGAGGTTTTGATATTAACACAAAATCCCTGTGAAGGGTCAAAGCCAACTCCTGGGGTGTGCAGCCATCCATTGGATTGCATGGAGTGGCATATTACACTGTTCCAGGCAAAAGGTTGTCTTTAGATGTAATCCCTCGGCCTCATTTATTGCTTTGGGACTCACTGTGACTCTTTGTGCATCCGAAATTTCCAGGTGTGTGGGAGTTTTATATGCCCAAGGCTCTGCAGGTTCCAGTGCTGGTTGCCCAGCAGAACATGGTGCTGGTTTCTCTGAATTCTTTGTCTTGTGTTTTGTTAGAAAAGAAGCTTGTAAAACACAGATAAAATTTTGAATAACATTCTGTTTTGCTGTAATTCTATTAAAGGAATAAATGGGTGTCTTCCACTCTGTGCTATCTGCAGTTCTAATTCTGCATTACTTAGACACAAATTAAGGGCAGAACAGACTTAAGAGATGCCAGTGGAGGATCAAGTGTACTCAATACAGAGCACTCTTTGGCAGATGAGGAATAAAACCTGTGGAGCCTGTTAATTAAGAAATTGGGAAACTCCCATCATTCTGGCAAATAACATGTGCTGAAAATGAATTCTACTCTGTTTTCCAAAATTGTGTAACTGATTCTATGTCTTTTTTCCCCCCTCTGTGCCTTAGGAACAGCTGCAGAAGCTGGAGACAGAATTGAGGGAAGTAACTAAAAACAAAGAAAAACTGCGGAAAAACCTGCTTGAGCTGACAGAGTACAAGTACATGTTGAAGGTCACACAGAGCATTGTCAGGAGAACATCTGAGGTACTGCTGGGGGGGTTTGCCAGGGGCCATGTGTTGTGGGGCATTTTTGGCTCACCTTGTTAGTGGTTGTAGTTCAGTGCATGACTTGGTGTTGGGCTTTGCAGCCCCGGACATTTTTCGTGATGGTTTG